TATTCATGGAGGGCCTGAGAGTAAGGCAGCTGGACTCAGGTAGCCAAGAGTTACACCTCTGACCTTCAGACCCTTGCTGGAATAAATTGGGCCTTCTGAGGCATGGATAAAGGAATCCAGCCTATATAGCAAAAGCACAGTGATAGGCATCATTTGAATTCCCTCTGTGAGTTGGTACATCTGATCAAATATATTCTTTTCCTTTACAGGAGTTTTAAGGACTACTGCAATTATGTAGTTTTTTTTTCTCTCAAATAAGAATTAAGCTTATAATGAACTTTCCACTCTATTAAATGAGGCATATAATATTCAGACTTTCAGCAGCCCAGGTTTTTGTTTGTTTGCTTGCTATTTTTCTTAATGTTTAAAGTAGAAAAACCACTAAGTAAGATCTTCCATAACTCCTTTCAACTGCCATCCTTTACCTAGGGTCTTATTTTGCTTGGTAAGGCTCTGGGCAGCTTTGAGGTACAAGGAATCTCAGCCCCACTTTATTATACCATAAATTTGTGAAGCAGGTCAGAATTAACAGGAACAGCAAAGGAACAAAATAACCTTGTCCATTATACCTCTCACTAAAGTTACTACTTTTCTCTGAGTTTAATTCCTGTATTTTGTTTTCTATTTTTAGTTTTGATTCCATATGTCCTTTCTAAGGAAGTGAAAGAGAATATTCTCAACATTACAAATAATTGAAATTGAGGAGGCATCAAGATAAAAGCGACTGGGTTTCTGACAAGATAACAGACAAGATTGGCTTATAGCATTCCAAGGAATCCAGAGGAAATGTTATGGAATTATAATGTTCTTCAAGCATCATAGAAAGAAGAATCTGCATGATAGTATCAAGCAGTGAGAAAATTCATGCACAGTAAATACCCATTTATTTTGCCCCTCAAGGCCTATGGGTTAATTCCAGATGTAGAAGGAAAAATTTAAAAATAAAACTTTAACTTGTATCATCTAGTTAAAGTCATGGATCAGAGACATGTGGGGATGAAAGAAGGGAGTTCAAAATGAACAAAAAGTTAAACCAAGAGGAAAAACATGACTAGAGGAAAAAATTTGACAAAGTAAACATTTTCAATCATGAGAACAACATAGCTAGCTCCTGGACATAACATCTCACACATCCAAATCAGAAATGAAATTTTATTAACTTTCACTTCTAGAAAAAGACAAGAGATAACAAATGCTGGTGAGGATGTAAAAGGAAATCTTGTACATAATTGATAAAATATAGATTGTTACAGTCATTATGGAAAACTTATGACGTTTCCTAAAAAAAAAAAAATAGAACTATCTTATGATCCAGCAATTCCATTTCTAGAATTATATACAAAGAAAATGAAATCAATGAGTCAAAAAGATATGTATACACTCGTATTCATAGCAACACTATTTACAATATCCAAGAGGTAAAGCAACACAAATGCCCACCAACATACAAGTGGCTAAAGAAAATGTGATGTATATACATAATAAAATGCTATTAAGCCTTTTTAAAAAGAAAATCCTGTCATTTTTGCTAACATGGATGAACCTGGAAGACATTATGCTTAAGTGAAATAAGACAGGCTCAGAAGAACAAGTACTGTCTAATCTCTCTTAAAGGTGAAATCTAAAAAAGCCTAAAATGTATTATGAAATAAAATGAGATGTATAAAATTATTTACAGTATAATCACACTTTAAAAAAATGTTATATTTAAATCACTATTCCTCTTTGCCTATATGGTTCTTTCTCTACTTTCAGGTGGCAATTTAAATGTTCCTTTCTCAACATGGAGGTTTTTACTGACTTTGTCTAGGTTAGAGCCCTGGTGATTTGCTTTTATTGTAGTTACCGCTTGGCAGGCAATCATTCTAGTATTTGAGACACCTCAATAAACAAATCAGGCAAAGATCCCTGTTTTTGTGGTGCTCTACTGTACAAAAGAGGATAGGGGAAATGATAGTCCATAAACAGAAAACATAATGAATATATAGAATGTGAGTATAATTTAGAAAGAAATATGCTATGTAGAAATATAAAAGCAAGATAAACAAATTGTGAATACTAGAGTTCACTTTTAAATATCGTGCAGGGTAGACATCTTTGATGTAGTTGCTATTGAGAAGGGAATTCATGTTCACATTCATAGTGGATACAAATCCAGACGTTACAACTGAAAGTAGTTAATTACTCGTTTGTCTTTTCACGCTCACTGTAGAAGTCATTTGTCAGAGTGAGTTAGAAAAGACAAAAATGGTGTTTGGTCATGTAATTGTGTACATTTGTAAAATATCATGTGATACCTTTAACAATTTGATGGCAGGCCTTTGTGTTTTAATAAGCCTTTTTCTCACATCCATTACTTTAGCAAGTGCGGGGGTCATCATTAGGGCACTTTTTACCATTTTAGTCATAAATTATCCAAATTTCAATTACTTGCAGAAATGGTACCGTGTATTATAGTTATTATATTAAAATCAAAGACACTAGAACCAGATTGCCTTTTAAATCCAAGCTCTGCCACTTATTGGCTATATGACTTTCATTAAGTTATTAATTTCTTTGTGCCTCATTTTGCTTATATGTAAACTGTGCATAAAATAGAACCATCCTTATAACTGTATCTAGGATCAAATGCAATACGGTAAAAGTATCTGGAAAGTAAGTGCTATGCTTGTTTTGTTGCTATTATCCTGAAACCATTTTTTGTGGGCACATTCAACACTTGAAAGGAAGTGACTATGGAGGAAAACATAAGGACTCTCCATTCTAAACAGGAATGCATTGAGTTCTAAGAACCTAGGTTGGTGCACTGAAGAAGTGAGTGGAAACTGAGAAAATAGAGTTTCAATGAAAGAAAAAAGAAAGTTGGAGGAGGGCAAAGTCAAAGTGTCAAGTGTTAAGAGGCAGCAGTTATGATAGAGAGCTGAGTAGTGCAGACAAGTGATACATTGCGCAACAGCTGTTTAAAGGTTAAGAGTAATTCTAATATACTTAGTATCTCTCACAGTTGGAGAGCAATGCAGGCAGGCCTGGGGCCATGCCAAGACACACAGACAAGTCCTTTCTGAGTCTCGGTCTACCTTTCTAGTCACAGTTTTTACTCCTACTTTCTCCTCTGCTTCTGAACATAATAAAACACTTGTAGGCCCACACTTATTCTTTGTAATGTCAAGTAAAATGTATTAAACTGTCAGTATATATCAGAAATGCTACATGCCTTCTGTTTATATCAAAGCACTTAATCAGTCAGATGCAACTTTGCAGTAAGTTTTCTCTTTCACATTTGAAAGAAAATATGTAAGCCAAAGTTTAGGGGGGTTATATAGCTTGTTCAAGTATAGTGACTGGAAACTAAAAGATAGAGGACTTAAACCTTGAGACTAATTGAATCTACACTTGATCTTATCCAAAAGACTGAGAAGCAATAGAGACTAACTGAATCTAAAACTTATGTAATATCTCCCCCAACTCTTTCAGGCTAATTGTTTGCTTCCTTCACACTGCACTCATTTAAAAAAAAATCTCTCCTCTTTCTTTCACGTACGTTTCTTCTCATACATCCCTGGCACATCTAGATTCCAAGTACCCCAAGACCAGGAACTGGCACAGTATATACTTGCAAAGACTAGAGATATTCTACATATTAGAGTGACCCACAACTTTAGTACCTATTTACTCACATATTTTATAAATTTTTCCATTATTTTCTTTTCTTCCACAAGCATAGCACTCTGCCTCCCCCTCATTAAATTTAAGTTATGACTAATCATATTACTTAAAGTGATGTCTCAAAAATCAATGAATGATTGAATGAAGATATAAATTATAATATATACTAACAGCTTTAGACTTTTGCTTACTTGGTTGATAACATGACAATTGTAATTTTAGATCAATTTTAAATGAAGATCCTACATGAACAAACACTTCTCAAAGGAAGTCGTACAAGAAGTCAACAAACACATGAAAAAACGCTCAGCCTCACTAATCATAAGAGAAATGCAAATCAAAACTACAGTGTGATACCACCTCACACTGGTAAGGATGGCTATCATGAAAAAAGTCAAAAAACAGTAGATGCTAGTACAGCTGTGGAGAAAAGGGAATGTTTCTACACTGTTGGTAGGAAAAAGTTAGCTTGGTCTTTATGGAAAGCAGTGTGGAAATTTCTCAATAACTAAAAATTAAACTTCAAAACAATCCAGCAATCCCTCTTCTGGGAATACAACCAGAGAGACATAAATTACTCTATGAAAAAAGACACCTGAATGTGTTTATTGCGGCACTATTCACAATAGCAAAAACATAGAGTCTGTCATCAAAAGTGAACTGGATTTTTTAAAAATGTGATACACACACACACACACACATATATGTATATATATCACATTTTTAAATATACCTATATATATGTACATATATATACCTGTATATATATATATATATATATATATATATATATATATATATATATATCTGTATATATATGATAGAATATTATGCAGCCATTAAGAAGAACAAAGTCATGGCCTTCACAGCAATGTGGATGCAGCTGCATATCATTATACTAAGTGAACTATCACAGTACTAAAGAACTGGATACCACATGTTGACATGTTGTCACTTATTAGTGGGCCCTGATCACTGGTCACATGAGCACAACGGTGGGATTGGCAGATGCTGAACATTGCTAGAGAAAGTAGGGAAGGAGGAGAGAGAGGGGCACATGGCAGTACACTGGGTACCTGGTCCTCTATCATGTGAGGAGAGAGCAAGCTAGAAGCTCAAACTTCACCTGGATGCAACTTACTCATGTAGTAAATCCTCACTTGGTTCCCACAACTAACTCATTATATGAGACAAATAGAACTCTTGGAAATTTTTGAATGAATTATAGGGTGTTTTTAAAGATATTTAGCCGCCGGACTAGAGATATTCTACATATTAGAGTGACTCACAACTTAATACCTATTTACTCATGTATTTTTATAAATTTTTCCATTATTTTCTTTCCCTCCCCAAGCAACACATCTATTTGTGATTTATTTGTCTGAGGTAAAGTCAACCTTGTCTCCAAGCAAAAATTTGATTACACCTTCCCGAATCTGCTTGGTCTTGACTCCATAAACAATTGGATTCAAAGTAGGAGGCAATAGAAGATAAATGTTGGCCACAATGATGTGTATGTGGTGGGGAATATTGTGTCTTCCAAAACGGTGGGTGAAAAAAGTAAAAAAAGCAGGAACATAGGTGATCACAATGGCACAGATATGAGATGTACAGGTGCCAAAGGCTTTGTGACGAGCTTCTGTTGTCGACAAACTCACAACAGCCCGTAGGATCATAGTGTAAGACACAGAGATACAGCAGATGTCAAACACACCAATCAGGAGAGCAGCCATCAGACCATAAACAGCATTGACTTTGAAACTTCCACAGGATACCTTGGCCACAGACATGTGGTCACAGTAGGTGTGGGGGATGATGTTTCCCCGGCAATAAGGCAGGTGCTTGGTGAGGAAAGAGAATGGGAAGATGAGCATCACACTCCTCAAGAAGGTGGCAAGACCGACCTTGGCGATGACAGAGTTGGTGAGGATGGTAGCATAGCGTAAGGGGTAGCAGATGGCCACATAGCGGTCCAAGGCCATAAGCATGAGCACCCCCGACTCCATCCCAGTCAACATATGGACAAAAAACATCTGGGCCAGGCAGGCATTAAAGTCGATCTCCTTGAGGTTGAACCAGAATATGCACAGCATATTAGGAACGGTGGTGGTGCATAAGATGACGTCAGTGAAGGAGATCAGGGCCAGGAAGTAGTACATGGGCTGGTGAAGGGCCTCCTCATGGCTGACGAGGTAGATGAGCCCACAGTTTCCCACGACAGCAACAATATACAAGAAGCAGAATGGCAGGGAAATCCAGATGTGTGCAGCTTCCAGGCCAGGAACACCATTCAAGATAAAGAATCCTGGGGTCAGGCTGGAGCTGTTGGTCCCAGACATGATTGCTGACAGGAGGAGGACATTTTATACTTTTTAGCAGTGACAGTTTCCTAAACCAGAAATTAAATCAAAACTGAATAGAAGGCTTGGAAATTCAAGGCATAAAAAATAGTTACTTCTATAAGACCTTTCAAATAGGAGTGGTGATTAAATTCCATTGGAGTCACACTGTCTAACTTCACATTCTGCTTCTGATTGTTATCTAATATATGATATCATCAGGTTGTTTAACCACTTTATATCTCAGTTTTCTCAGTCTAAAATCAGAAATTTCACCAAGCTCAGAAAGCTATCAAAACAATTTAATAAGATAATTCATATGATGTGCTATAACGGTACATAATATATAGTGAATACTCAAATATTAGCAGTGAACACTACTGCTATTATTATTATTATTTACTTTTTCAATATAAACTATTCAGTGGGAACAATCAATATACATCAATTCAGCCCTGTACTAACTCAAGTGCCACTGTGCACTTTATGGTGGGGAAAAAAACCTGATGTTTAAAAAAATGCCACCATATTTGGAGATTGCAAACTTTTTTTAAAAAATCAGTGCTAGTTACTATGGCCTCCAAGAGATTAAAATATGTTTTTATGTTTTAGATGGAAGAAATATATAAATGGCTTTTTTGGTGATTTTAATATCTTTTATTTAACCATATCAACTGGAGTCCAAAGACAGTCATATTATTTTTGCCAACATTATCTTAATTTATTAATGTCTAGACTACCAGAAATGCCTTTAGCAAGCACTTCTCTCGAGCTGTACCTGTTCATTTTTATATTTCTCGCCTTCACTTAACTGCATCAATTTGAGTTAAGAGACTTTTCAGGATACAGAATAAGGATTATACAGGATAAGTCATTAGAAGACTGATAAAAGAAATGAGGAGATAATCACACCACAGATTTTTTAATTAAAAAATTGCCTTATATCCATTTGTCACAAATTTAAACAACCTCTCTCTGTCCTTCTTCTCCAACGTGTTTACATTCCAATAGTCAACTTGTGAACTATCTTTTTATCTTATTTAAAAGTGAAATATGCTGAAATGTGAGCTACAGTGGTCTCATTGTGTCCCTAAGTTGTAGAAGATGGGAGTGATTGTGCTTACATTGCTAGTAGTTAATGAAAATATATTTATGGAGTTTTCAATTTGATTGCCTTAGAGATGCTTTAGAGAATTGGCACTGCCAAAAATGTCAATCAATTCCAGTGAGATGGAGACTCACAAAGCCTGTAAGATTAATTATACATTAACAAAATGTCTCTTAAATCTATACTAAAATCCAGGGAAATATAATTTAATTAAATCCCTGAAAGGCTCCTGATAACTTTAGATAACTAGGCAAGTAGCCATTGGAACTTTTGCAAAGAGAACTGATCTGTGTTGAATGATGTCTTGGATATCTCTGCTCATTTTAAGGTAGTCAGAGGGTACCAGAGGTGCAACATTGGAAGAAAAAAAACAAGAATATTAGGATATCAGGAGAAGTAGGAACTTCTAGCTCCACACAAGTGTCTTGTAAACTAAAACTTATTCCCATCACAGAAAACTCTCATATGCTTCCAAGTACCAACACCATATAGCTAAATAATATATATATGTATATCATAATAATCCACACTTATTAAATCATGAACTGGCAAACACAGAACTCAGAGCCAGTTCTTTTTTTCCTTCCTCAAGGAAAAAAAAAATCCCTTTCAGATGCTTCTTGAGAATGCACGTGAATTCTGCTGTCAGTGAGCTATGTGTAAAACTAGACTATATATGTATGTTTTTTTTAATGACTAATAACTCTGAAAATATAATGAGAAGAGAGTTTTATTGCATACTAATTGTAGACACTTGGCTATTCAGACTTTTATCGGTTAAATTTTGTTCTCTCTCTTTTTTTTTTTTTTTTTGAGTTGGAGTCTCACTTGGTCACCCAGACTGGAGTGCAGTGGCCACTTCCGGCCACCGCAGCCTCAACCTGCTGGGCTCCGGCGATCCTTCCGCCTCAGCCTTCCAAGTAGCCGGAATTACAGGCATGCGCTACCACGCCTGGCTGATTTTTTTTTTTTTTTTGATTGATTGTAGAGATGAGGTCGTGCTGCCCAGGCGGGTCTCGAACCCGCGGTCTCAACGCTAACTAGCTAAATTGACTTCAGTAAGTCCTAAACATTTCTTTGCACAAGTTATATAACTTTTAAAGGAGAATTATGGTACTATGCATACACCACAGAGATGTTAAAATGGTAATTTTCCACTTGGTGCCTGGCATTAGTAAGTAAACAATGACTTTTATCTATTATAACAATTGTTAGATTCTGTGCTAAAACATACTTTAGCATACATTTGTTGATTGTGGTTCACTTGCCCTATGCCATGCTAGTTTCTAGGGATGCATTAGTGAATCAAAGAGACAAAATTATCTCCACTCATGGGGCTAATATTTCAATGAAGTTTCATTCTCATATTCAAACATGAATATATGTTATTATCTTAATTGTATTTATGAATAAATTGAGGTTTAGGGTGACTCAATAAAATGCGTAAGGTCACAAACTTTGAAACTGATAGAGCTAAAATCCAAATTTATTTATGTATTTTTACTTCAAAGTCATTTTTTACTTCAAATCAATCAACATTTTTTGTTCTAACTTACTAACTTTAATCCTGACAAGTAGTTCCATAAACTGAGCATGACTAGTTTAAACAAGACATGATGACATAAGAAGATAATTTTCAAGTGGGAAAAAAATTAAACTTATTTTTAATTGTACCTTAAGGAAGAAATAGAACAGATAGGTAAATTTATAAAAAGTCAATCTTTAGCTAAGAGTTATCTCTACAAAGAGAGAACATTTCTATGAGGTTGCTGGGATCTTATGTCTGGAGTTGTTCACATAGATATTTATGGTACCTGCTAGAAGATTTTCATGAAATCATTTCTGTGGGGAAGCTTCTTCCAGGATTTCCTCCCAACACCTTCTAGGAATCAAGTCTAGACTTGGGCTACTTTCCATTTATTCACAAAGACCATTCCAGTAGAAGTAATTATGTTTATAATTATCCATTTATTAAGGTAAAAAATGTTTTCTCTCATTGGAATTCACTATTGACTGGACTTTATCTCCAGTGAACTATGAGGTAGCTTTAAATTCATTTCACAATTAAAGAAATCCTGTTTTCCTTTTTAGTCCCCAAATAAACAATCATCTATTCTGGTTGGAATCAAAAAGAAATACTGAACTTCTCATCAACCACATCTAAAACACTTATATTTCTTGTACTAAAAAACTTTGCAATTTAGGAAAATAATGAGCTTTTGAAAAGTTCCCAAACTCACCTCAGACTTAGCAAAGACCAAACTAGTATGCATGACTGAGGGTCCTGAGCCTCAAGAGTTCTATAATAATCAGATTCTGCCTCTACATAGCATCTCTGTGGCATTCTCTTGAGTCTAGCATCTACATTGGATTGGGTATCCACAGTTGGATGTCTCAGAGGGCTCTGGTTAGAAGGAAAAAAAATCCTTTGTGACTTTTGAGATTATTCCATATTTATCAGCTCTTAAGCAGAGGTAAAATTATAAAAATAAATAGTATCCAAAAAGTTAAATAGTTTTTCTCAGGTATGACTTAGAATTCTGATAGTCACAAGAATGATCTGTTTTTCATCTATGTTGATCAAAATATCAATTTCACCATCTTTTCACACACATATACATACACACATACATACATACACACACACATCTCCAAACACATATATAATTTTATATTTACTGGGGGTGTCAAAAATGTATATACATTTTAAGAGATGTTAATTACGTATTACTTTTAGCTCGCTGTAATCAAAAGTGTCTGGAGCTGGTGGTAACCACTTTGAGTACTTCTTGTAATTGCAGAAGTCAAACTTGTATTCATCTTTTGTTATCAGTATATATTGTATATTGCAATTTTAATACAGTTTTTTTCTTTCTTAAAATGTGTAACCTTTTTGGCACCCTCTGTATATGCATTTATATACATAACTTTATATATTTGCATATACATTTTTTTTTTTTACAAATAGAGGAAGAGGCAGGAGAGAGAAAGCCACAGAGACAGAGAGGCAGATAATCCTAGATATCACACAAGATATCTGTACAATGTCTAGTTTGTGGCTCGTCCTAAGTTTATTAGATAAATTAATGGATATATAAACACACACGTGTGTACACACATTTACATGTTCATTTGCTTTGGAAGGAGATTGTGGCAAAACAGTTTTACATATATTTTATTATCTAAATTTTCCTTTTTACATTTTACTTTCAAGAAGATTAACCATAAAAAGGATTGGAAAAAAAATTAAAATAATATTTTATCATTTCAAATGGTGAAAGTATGAGAATTTCCACTTAAGTTGTCATTGAAAGTGCACCATAAACTCCCTTAAAACTGTGACTTTAATATGTTAACAGGGTAAATGTAGAATGGTACAGCTATTTGGCAGAACAGTTCAGCAGTCTTGTTAAGTTTTAGTACACTGGCTCTATTACGTAGAAAATCCCTTTTTAGTTTTTTTCAAGTTAACAAATGATTTTACTTTATATTTTTCTTTTTATTTTTTATTTGAGGGTACTTGAGCTGGTTTGTCTCATGGGTATATTACTGCTAGTGGAGTCTGAGCTTCTATTGGACCTGTCACCTAAAGGGGAGTGGTATCCAATAGACAGTTTTTCAATTTTTGCCTTCCTCCCTTCCTGAGCAGTCCCCTGTGTCTATTATTCTCATCTTTATGTCCACACGTACCCAGTGTTTAGTTCTCACTTATAAATGAACATGTGGTATTCAGTTTTCTGTTTCTGTGTCAATTCACTTAGGATCATGGCCTCCAACTACATCCTGTTACTGCAAAGGGCATGATTTCATTCTTTTTTATGGCTGCATAGTATTTCGTGGTGTAAATGTACCACGATTTCTTTAGCCAATCTGCTGCTATGGGCACCTGCATTACTTCCAAGCTTTGCCACTGTGAATAGTGCTGA